ATTGTCTTTTCAGCAAAATGAGAAGTTTTGAGGTCAGACTGCAATTTGATTCAAATGCAGTTTTCATTTAGGCCTGAAGTCACTCATTTTGGTTGTGCTAGTACCTCAGTCTTAAAATTCACATGTCTAGTGTACACACCTGGTCCGTACCCATCCCAGTGGCAGTTTTCCTGGTGTCCACCATGATATGGCCTTCACCTGTGACCATGAAGTCCTGTGAAGAGTATCTCAGTTCGGCACAGCCTTCTGTGGTGAGGTGGGGGTGGGGGATGTCAGCAAGGAAAGAAACAGTTCAGTGTTATGTGCAGATGTTAAACCACGTAATCACATGTTTGACTAGAACCCAGGAATATGGCTCTTGGCCACTGCTGTTAAGGCCCTGAAGACTTTCCTCCTCTATCTCCTCTATGGCCCTAGCCATGCCAACATTCTCTCTGGTTGAAGAATGCACCACGCAGATAAGTAAACATGGTACCTTGAAGGCCCCATAGATCAACAATGAGAGCATTTGTCTGTAAATAATTCAGAAACTCCTGAGATACATTTAAGGCTGCAAATTGGACAGTCTCTTCAATTTGAGGATTCACAATTTTCCACACAGGCTTGGTATATAAAGTGTTTGGAAGATCGTAAATCCTGTACCTGAGAAAAGAACACCAGACATACATTAAATCCAGACAGGACACATTTGTGAAGAAAAAGACCAAATAGTGGCCAAAGAATTGTGGCCCACATATTGACTAGTTGGTAAAAATGACCTAGAACTGATTCTCATGATTGTCCCACAGCATCTTAGCTGTTCACATGGGTATGATCACTACATGGATGATATTAAATGTATAACAAAAAAAGAAAAGAAATTTGATAAAAAGCTTTCTACTTAAAATATAAAATTAACTTTCAATGTGCGCCGTTTGGGTTTTGTCCTTCAAAGCCTCCTTTTCTTTACTGTTTTATTATCCTTTCAGCCAAATTAGATTAAGAATACCTGGTGCTTCTGTCCTATGGTAATACAGACCTTTTATTTCCAACTCAAAAAATAAATAAATAAATAACAACAACAAAACCTACAAAATGATTCTACTTAGACAATACCGTTTTTCTGGATATTCTTTCTGATAATTAAAATTTCTGACTCTGCTACATCCATCATTTGGGAGGCTCAAAACACACTGACAACAGCCCAGAGTGGGGAAATGAGTGGCTTCTCCATTAAACAGATGGGATCAAGTAGTCATTTTGGGGTGACGAAACAGAGAAACTTAAGAAAATTTCAGAAGCCCTTTTTAAAAAACTTGAGGAAGGACTGTCCCCCTGGAGGGGGGAGGGCAGAAAGTAAGTAGTTGTGTGAGGCACGTAGCCACAGGGTAGGCTGATACCCAATTTGGATGCCCCGCTTTGCATCTTCCTTGAGCCACTTGATGCCAAGGCACTGAACAATATGAATCTGGAAATCGATCCTCTTGCCCAGCAACTCCAAGGGGTCAATCACCACATCCTCCTCACCATGTACTCTACAAAGAGAAGAGGTGGACAGCAATCACAGGCTAGCTTGGGTTAGCAAGTCAGGATCGTGGTCAAAGGGAATTAAATAGATCCCTCAAGAGAAAGAGAGCACTGAGAGCAGAATAGGTTTTATTGCCAGTTGTGGGATTCATTCATTCATTCATTCACGCAAGACACACTTAATGAGAGCCCACTATGCAGGTACTTCAAGGTCAGATGGGAACCTTCTCAAAGATCTCACAGCCAGGGAGTAATAGGAAAATAAACAGCTTCATGCAATAAATGTGCTCAGATGTGGGTGCTACACTGACTAGCATTGCAGATCAGCAGGTGTCCAGTGGGACAGAGGGGCTGGCACCCAGGAAAGCAATTCCACCTCTCAAGGTGTCATTTTCCCTGGTGAATTATTCACAGTTCAGAGTCAACCTCAGGCCTACAAACTTAGAAATCCTGGATGCCTCTTCAAGAAGGGAGCGCTCTCATATCAGTCTAAACTAGAATGCCCATTTACTATTTTGCAATGGGAAATACAACCGTGAGGTAGCCTACAAGTCTGAGTTAGCCAAAGGAGGCTGCTTGGTGAATTTGGAGTCCCAGTGAAGACAGTGAGTGGTTGGTCAGCTTGGCCTCTTAAGGTCTTTTACTCCCTCTTGAGCTTCAGTTTTCTCCCCAGAATGTCAACAAGGTTGCATTGAGTGCCTAAGAGGACCCTGACACCCAGACCAGTCCCACTTCCAGCCTCTTTGCTTAGAATTGTTTGAGACTTTAGCTTTTGTGAAAGCTGCCCATGGCCCAAAGCAAGAAAATAGATGAGCTATCCAAATAGGAAGGTAAAAGGTAATGGAACAGAGTTTGCGAAAGGAGATAATGGATTAAAACAAAGCCTGTACTCATAGAAAGGAAGCTTTCTGTACCCACAGAATGGGGCTGGATACAGAGACAAGACATCTCAGTCCCTACCTTGAGGGACAAAGAACAAAGAAATGGTCACAGTTTGAACAAGGAGTGGAGAGGGGTGAGCTGGATAATCAGCTCTTGAGCCTCATCAACGTGGGAAAGAACAGCTGCAGGCGGCAGATGCACCAGGTGCAGCCACCACACCCTTAGCCTCTCTGCTCTGCAAGTTATTATATGGAACCAACCCAAGTCTTTTGGTTTTGGTCCAACCTTCCTCCTCCATCCTGCCTCTTGGTGAGATGCCCTCCTCATTCCCTTGGTTCTCCTCATTCCCTCAGCCCCCTACGGTTGTGCTGAGCTGTCTCAGGGACTGTTGCACAGGGATTTTAAAATAATCCAAGATAGCTGATTGGATAAAAACAATACAAAACATAATTTTGAGGGCAAATCTTGAATGGATGAGGTCATTTATTTGTCTCATAAATAAGCACCTTAGGGACCTCATTGACCACCCCCCACCCCCCACCCCCCACCAGGAGACCTCAGGCTTGCTATGCATTTCTGTGTGACTGACTTAGGCTAGAAATGAGGATAAGAGAGACACCCACTGTCCAGTCGGCGAGCAGGAGGTTATGTGGATATGTAACATGGCCTCCTCCAGCCCATCGCAGTTCAGAAACTCCACTTGTTCCTCAAACTTCATGCAGTAAGCAAGTGATTGGAGCCAGATGTGAGCAGAACCCAGGTGCACAACCTCAACAGGGTCCCAGAAAGGGTCAACTTCTTGAGCCTCGTGGCTGTCTCCTCCATCTAGAAAGTGCTGGTAAAGTTCCTCCATCAGGAATTTCCTGTTGATAAACTTGGCCTTTGACCATATCCACACCTGGAAACACAAAAGCAGGTCATCGGTATTTGATTTCATCTGCAATTCATTTCTGTGACTCTTCCCAGTATGTTCCCTCCAATGCACCAGATTTTTGGTACCCCAAATCACATAACATAAATTTAGTTTTAGGAGAACATCATATTCATTCCTGGATCTGTTTCTTCCTCCTTGCTGGAGTCCAGGAAATGACTTAAAGAAGATGATGGAAGATTTATAAAACAGACCCTCCCAAGAGAAATGAAGATTTGGGCTTATGTCCTGAGCCCCATAACCTGAATACGTTACACATAGAAAGGGGAAATTAAGGTTGCAGATAGAATTAAGGTTGGTAATTAGCTGACTTTAAAGTAGGGAGATAAGCTTAGATTATCCAGGTGGGCCCAATTGTAATCAGATGAGTCCTTGAATGTGAAAGAGGGAAACAGAAGAGAGGGTAAGAGAAAGATACATGGTTGATGCAGGGGCAAAGAGATGGAATATTGTGGTTTGAAGATGGAGGAAGAGGCTACGAGGCCAGGAAGGTGGCCAGCCTCTAGAGGCTAGGAAGGGCAAGAAAACATTTTCTCCTGTAGAGCCTCCAGAAAGGA